GTCAATGGAATGGTGGTCTCTGGAAACGAGATGCCTCCCCCGAAGCTGAGCTTGAAGAACGTCAATGGAATGGTGGTTTATGGAAACGAGATGCCTCCCCCGAACCTGATGCCTCCCCCGAACCTGAGCTTGAAGAACGTCAATGGAATGGTGGTCTCTGGAAACGAGATGCCCCACCCGAATCTGAGTTTGAAGGTTTATGGAAACGAGACGTCCCCTGAACCTGAGCTTGAATACGTATGGAAGCGGAACGATTAACAAAGTGTCCATTCGATCTCTTTAGTTTAATTCATCCATGACTGAAGGTTGAAATGGTGCATCGTATGAAACATCTAACAGTACTTTAAACGCATATATTGCACTTATTTATTATTGACATTTATTGACATTTAACAGTATATACTTTCATTATAGATCATTATGCATTCTCATTTCATTGTAACTTTTCATTTTACATATTTTCGCATTTTACACATTCTACGCGTTTCTTTATTTAAAAGAACTATAGTTTCACCAGACATACTTTATTATTTTCAATCCCAATTTACATACATTTCATGTATAAATTTACATTAAAATCCAAGCATCACTATAATATATTAATGATTTAGTATTACAATCAATGTAGCATCAATTATTCAGAATTTCACATAGCAATTTTATCTTGTAGTAAATACTATCTTCTAAGAATGCTTAAATTTGTTAAATGTTAAACGTTTCGCATATTTTTTGAAAATAAAATTTTTATTATTATTTATTTATTATTTTTTTTTTTCGATATTATTAGTGAAAAATGCTTTTATATATGAATAAAATATAAAGTTGAATTGGTCCAAAGTCGGATCACATGATAAATGCCACAGCCGCAGCTAAAGTTTTCCACCAATCAGTAATGCTATATAAATGATTTCTGATGCCAATAATCTAAAGTTTTTGTTTGACCAACAGTTACTAATTGGGGACACTTCAAGAACAATGAACCCAATGATCATCTCATCATGTGAAATCATGAAATAACATCATTTGTTTACTAGCATTAACAAATTGGCCTAAATTACTAACCCTAACTTAGGCCGAGTGTTTAATCATGTGATGTGATTATCACGGTTCACTGTTCTTGAAACTACCCTCTTATTTATAGGCACTAAAACTTTAAGCGAAGTTTTCTTGATGAATATCTAACCAAATTCTATGAATTTTTTTATTTTAATTTTGTATCCTATATAATTAAAAAAAACATAGAATTTGATTAGATATTCATCGAGAAAACTTCGCTTAAAGTTTTAGTGCCTATAAAAAAGAAGCTGCGGCAAATTTATTTTTAAACAATAAATAATATTTCTCAGTGACTACATAACAAATTTGTTTTAATTCGATTCTACAAACACATAGAATTAATTTTGGTTAGATATTCGTTGAGAAATCGAAAAAAAGAAATTTTACTACGGCTTTTTGATTTTTCAAAGATTTTTAACCTTTTTTTTCAACTTTAAGCGAATTTTTCTCAACAACTATCTTATTAACTTGTGGAATTAAAATAAAAAAAAACCAGGCCTACCGAATAATTGATTATAGGGGCAATTAATTGCAATTTTTTAATTGATTGGTGGCGCAGTCACAATTGGTCAATTACGATTAATTGCAATTTTACGTAATTAGAATAATATCTATCGTATATTCACCACTACGATATGATTTTTGATTTTTGATTTTTCGCTGTTTAAAAGATCAGGTTACACCGGTGAAAGAAAATTGAATTTAATTGCAATTAATTGCAATTATTTCGTCATTAATTGGGTTTCAATTAATTTTATGATGATTTTAATTGATTTTAATTGTATGACGTATAGCAAAAATTAATTTAAATTAATTTTTCGGCAGGCCTGAAAAAAACTAAATTTTAAAAGGATTTTCATGGCCGACCATCCCCTGACATATTTCGATATATCCCGACCCGGAATTTTGGATCCCCTGTATGAGTTGACACGATAACGATAATACAAATGCGTATTAATAATTAAATAAGGAAACGTATAAATCCCAACTACTGTCTTCCTCATATATTGTCACCTCCTATATAATCACATCATAGTAAATCCCTTTTTATAATCACGCCAAGGCCTGCAACACTTTACTAATAAACTTATAAAAAAATACTTCTTTATAAGCACATCATAGTAAAAACCTTTATACAATCACACAATTTGCGTGATACAGACTACGTGATTATAGAGGAGGATGACAGTAACACTTTCTTCCAATGCCAACTTTTTTCTGAATGATAAACAATCAAATTAATACAAAATGCAAGCATGGTTGCAGTAAATTTCAGCACATTGGTAATATTTTACAGATTATCGCAGAAATTAAATTTAACAATCGTAAAATTTGAGTTTGTCACCGCATAAAGCATCCAAATTCAAGTCGTGCGGGGTGACCTGGATAACACTTTCTTCACATCCGTTCCAACTTCTACTTTTAAAATACGGTATTTTAATCCAACTTGCGCAATACAGCTAATTATACTTATTTTCAATAATTTCGTGTTGCAACCAACGACTTGCTTTTAGATTTGTTACAGAATTGATATAGAATCAAAGGTCTTTCAATGCTATTGTACTTCCTTGATTTGTTAACTTTGTATGTATTGTTTGGTTTGTTAAGCCTGCAAAGTTTGCAATTATTGTATGTACGTACGTACGTATGTTATTTTGAATTCTATACCAATCAGCTTCATATTGCTAATTCTCGTTACTGTCACTGTATTACGGTAGTAAAATATCATATATCATGGATGCAAAAATACATGTCCATAAAAGTACCTGAGGATATCCTTAAAAAGGAAAACCGTGTTTCAGTGTTATTAGGATTGTTTTTAGATTATTTTTGAGAAGATTGTTAGTGTTAGTATTTAAATAAAACACATGTAAAGCAGATCATGAGTTGTCAAAATGTTTTTCCTTGATATTTTAAAGAAAGAATCACCACTATCGTTAAGATGGTGTCGAGCTTTAACACTAATTATTTTTTTATGTGCATTATGTACCTTTTTTATGATATTAATTACAAAATTGGTTGGTGAAGTGCCTAATATTAAAGTAACTTATGAAGGCATAGAGTCTATCCCAGCACCAAGTATTATTATTATTATTATTTTAATTAAAATTTACATACTGTATATTTCTCTAACTAATAAAATATTAGATCTTCTTTATATAGGTGCAATTAACAACTGTGTTTTATTTACTAATGATACTGGTGAAAATGGTGAAGATTGTATGCAATATGTTCGTAAATATGTTGGACAAAGTAATTTTATTTTATCCGTCAGGTACTATGTATACACTGACGGAAAAAATTCCATATTATTGCCGCAGGTTATTATTAAAATCACG